CAACCAATCAGATCGCAGCTTTCTTATTAATTTGGTTATTGGATTCGATCTTTGTGATCCTATGATCAGAAATGGATAATCTATACCTCGTTAGAATTGTCTTAGTGAGCTGATTCGAATGGTAGTAGTTTCATCGAATTCTGTCCAGTGGTTCAAGAGTTATGGTTATTTTTGTAGGTTAACACTATATACTAATTTTTGTATTCCTATTATCCCAGAATTTCACTAGGATTATTCCTATTAGGAATTTTTTTGTTCTATTATTATCCTTAGCCCCCTAATCATCATGGCCTTCTTATGTCAAATCTGTTACTATTTAAGAATCTGAGTACTGAAGATCTTCCTATTTTTATAATATGCCATCTGGTATAGTTAATTCATAATCGTAGTTTTAACACAGTTTATATCTCTCGTCGAACTTGAACTGGCAATCTTGTGATTGGTGACCTGGAAGTATAACCACTTCACTATTGACCCACAGGTTATTCTTATTTTTTTAATAAATAACAAAATATATTTGATTGGTAAAATTTATAAAAAAGAAACAAAAACTAAAAATTTAGATTTTGTAACTTTTTTCAATAGCCAGAAAGTATTTAGACTTAAAACCTAATTAGTTAAAATAAAAAAAATAAGCTAAGATCTGTGAGTCAATAGCAAAGTAGTTATGCTTTTAGGTCACCAATCACAAGATTGCCAGTTCAAGTCCAATAGGGAACGTAAACTGTATTAGAACTATAATTACAAATTAATTACACCAAATGGTATATTATGAAAATAGGAAGATATTTGGGACCCAGATCCTTAAATGGCAACAGACCTGACATAAGAAGGCTATGATAATTAGAAGGCTGAAGATAATAATAGAACAAAAGAATTCCTAATTAGGATTAATTCTGATGAAATTCCAGGATAATAAGAACACAAAAATTGGTATATAGATAGTACTATAAATGTACATAAACAATGTAAAAATGTGGATGAGATTCTGATAAAAAGTTCTATAAACTTGAAATATGAACTAATAAAACAGCTACCAGCTGCAGCCTACTAGCAATCATGCAATAGAAAATTAAAAAAAAAGCTGAACAACTATACTTAAGAGTACAAATAAGGGTTGTTTAGTAAATTATTGAAAAAAAGTTAAATGTTTTTAGCAAGAATTTGTAAAAATAATTTATAAAAAGGTTCCTAAAAAGTTTTTTAAACTTTTATTACTATTAATTCTAATTATTTAAAGTACAATATAATTTTTATTATATATTTATTTATTTTTTTAATTGTTTTTATATGTTTTTTTTTATTGTTCTTTAACTAAAATTTATTATTAGTATAAATATACTATAGTTACTAAGTCTTTAAAGCAGTTTATTTATATTAAAAACTTTTGACTTTATATTAAAACTACAAGCATAAATTTTTAATATCAGATTAAAACAAAAATTATAATATTTTTTTTAAATTTTAAGTAAAAATATTTACAAATCAAGTTTAATAAATTTATTTTATTTAAATTTTATAATTTTATAGAATTTAAATAAACAACTTATTAAATTTAACTTAATATATAATTATTAAGATATTTTTATTTAAAATTAAAAAAAACTAATTCTACCTAATTTTTTAAACAATATCACAACTTCTTCTTTATCTATTAATACTAACTCTTATATTACCAAATAGCTTCTTAAGATTACTTCCTAACTATCTTTATTTACTGTTTAAATAATTATTCAAAGATTTTTTCTAACCTATCTTAACTAGAATCTAATTTGAAATAATCAACTATAGTACTTATAGAAATAAGAAGTGTAATGTTATATTGGTTACCTATATATAGCACAAATATAGTTTAGAAATTTTTAATTTTAGAACTATGATTCTATATATATAAAGTTTCTATTTAAATATTATAATTAAATAAATAAAAAATAAAAAAAATTTAATATAATTTCTGTTCTAATAAATATTTAAAATTTTTTTAAACTTTAAATAAAATAATTTTGTAACTATTAAGTTAAATTTAATATTTTTTTATTTGAATTCTATAAATTCAAAATTTAAACAAAAAAATTATTAAAATAACTTAATAGTTATTAAAATATCTTTATTTAAAAATATTTTAACAACTACAAAATAAATTTACTAAATTTTTTCTTTATTTAAATTTTAAAAATTTATAGAAATTAAAAAAATTTACTAAATTTGATTTGGCAATTATTGTATTTTTATTCAAAGTTTAAAAAAAAAACTAAATCTACAAAAAGATATAAATAATAAATTTGAAAAATATAAAAAAAATAAATTACTTGGTTTACTTTAATATATAAATATATATATAATTTGTAAATAAATATAATTCAAAATTTAAGACCAAACAATTTTATTAATTTTTTTAAACTTTAAATAAAAATATTTTAACAATTACAAATCAAATTTAATAAATTTTTTTATTTAAATTCTATAAATTCATAGAATTTAAATAAAAAACTTATTATTTTTTTTTCAGTATTAAGATAATCTTTTTGGTCTTAACTTTTTATTAATACTTATATTAGGTATATGTTTTATATAGACGTATCTATAATAAACTATCAAACAAGTGTACAACTAGCTATACATGTAACTTTTCTATATTACCTATTTAAGGAGTTTGCCTGAAGGTTTCCTACTAGTTGTTATACTTAATACCTCTACTTAGATATTCTATTTAAACCTTCTGATCTGACCTTGGTATTAATTTTATCAGATTACAAACCCAGATCTGTTCACTTTTAACTATAGGACTATAATTCTTAGACTATTTTTATCCTTGAAGTAAACTTATCAGAGCAAGCTGTATTCTCTTTTATTATTAACCTGGTTTGACACTATGACTAAGGTCAACACTTGCAATTAGGGTTACCCCTTAAACTGCTATTACCTTTGTAAAGTTTACCCAAACCTTAGTACCCATCTTTCTGACTTCTTTTTTATTATCTCTTACTAGCCACAACTCAGAACCAACAACAAACTTCCCCAGACTTCCAATCCAGATAGCCTGATATAGTATACTTATATATCCTTTTCTCTGACAAAAATAAAAAACTTATCAAATTTGACTTAATATATAATTGTTAAGATATTTTTATTTAAAATTTAAAAAAAAATTTAACACAATTTCTGTTTTTAATAAATATTCTTAATATTTTTAAAGATAATTCTGTAACTATTAAGTTAAATTTAATAAATTTTTTTATTTAAATTCTATAAATTTATAAATTTAAACAAAAAAATCATTAAAATTAACTTAACAGTTACTAAAATATTCTTAAAAAAAAACTGTATAATTTGTTTTAATAAATATTTTGTTTTTTTTAAACTTTGAATAAAAATATTTTGACAACTACAGAATAGATTTAATGAATTTTTTCTTTATTTGAATTCTAAGAATCTATAGAAATTAAAAAAAAATTTACTAAAAAAAGTAAATTACTTAGTTTATCCTAGTGTATGAACACGGGTATAAATATCCAAAATTTAAGTTACATTAAAATAGGATTTAAGATTAGGGTAAGACATAGCCTATACTAAAATTCTGCAAGAAAATTATTTTCATTAGAACCCCAAAGGTGGTTTCGTATATAAAATTCCATATATAAAATTTTGAGTATTATAAGCATCCGTGTTTGATACACTAGTGTACAAATAATAATTGCCTAAAAATAATTCCTTATTAATATTATTAATCATTTATTCATGAAGTAATGCGTAAAAAATAAAGACAAAGTTAATTATATTTCTATAGTTTAACATGTTATTAATACAACAAAATGAAACTAATTATTGTAATATCAAAGTTAATTAGAAAGAAAAAAGAATATATGCAGAAGATCTTAGCGTGAAAAATAAAGTCTAAAAATAGCGCTCCTATCGCTATCGACAATATTAATGCGTTGTTGATTTCCGTTACACTTGAATCCTCATAAAATCACGGGATTACGGATTATGCTATCACAATCTAGTTAAAGATCATTCGAAACCAATTTCACTCACGGTTATTAAAATTCAATAATGAATTCTATTCAACAAGTTGAAGAGCTCATTAAAGAATATTTACTGGTAACTTTCTTGCTTTTTAGTTTTTTTATTTTTTAAAGTTTATGGAATGGGTTCTTCAAGAACGAACCTTAAAGATCTATATTTCTTTTTTTTTGGTTTTAACGAATGGAATAATAGTTTAGGGGGTTTTCAGTTACATTTCGGTCCTTCGAAGCAGAATGTCGAAATGACAAAGATAAAGGGTTTCATGTAAGTATGTTTATAACATTCGAGTTAGTTATGTATACTTACCTTTTTCTGATTAGTATGGAATCTAATATTACTTTTTTAATGTACTTTTATTCGTTTATGAATGTTATGGACTGTTACGTATCAATTAAAATTCTTTTTTTACATAATTGTTAGGCTGAAAAAATTATTGAAGAATTATATTCATTCATAGCAAATAGTGATATAAATGGATTACTTGACTATTGGGAGTATTTAAATATAAGATATTTTTCGAGATTAGATGCTAGATATTTTGGAAGTGTTAAGAAGTTTAAGATATCTCTTTTAAGATATTATCTTGTATATGGTAATTTGAAAATACAAAATTATTTTATCATTCCATTTTGAAATAGCTAGAATTATGTTTTTTTGTTAATAGTTAGGGGTTTGGCTTTGATCCAGGTGGTGACGAAAAGAAATTCTGGTGATGCTAATTTTGTTCTAATATTTTTAATTTAATGACGGAATCAAATGATGAAATAATTAGCGACACAACAAAAACGTAAAGAAAAAGTGCTAGAATTCTTTGATACGTTTGAAACGGATTTAAATGGAAATTCGGAGTGGTCTAAATGGTTTGGTGAGCATTTTTATATTTCTGATGATAATGATTTTTTATTATTATATTATTTTAAGCGATTGTAATTCTAATTGGTCTTTTGTTTGTTTGTTTGTTGTTTGTTTGTTTTTTTTATTAAGGACTGCCATTTTCAAAAAATCCGGCAGCCGATCCATATTTTGAACCATTTTTTACCAAACAATGGTTAGAGACATTTACAGCGTCGTTACATAATTTCTTGAATACTATATTTCAAAATATGCGTATCCTATTTTTATATACCAATGAGAACAATTTATTTAAATATATATGGTTTGCTATTGATAATATCTTACACGAATTTATATTTTATAATTGACTTTAACAAATATTCACATAAATCGGGAAATAGCATTACCGAGTCTATTATGTTTCGATATAGATCGATTTCAAAGACGTGCGTTGGAAAGCGAGGTTCAGTCTCTACATAATGTGATAGTTGATCTCAAATCAAAGATAGAACATTATGATACCGAGCTCGCAAACTTACGACAAACGGTAACTATATAATCATAAGATATACATGGGGGGTGAGTCAGTAGAAACACACTAAACGGTTTAAAATTATGAACAAAGATAACAAATTGATCAAATTTAACAAAGTTTTTTTATGGTGTATTTCTACTGACTTACTCCCATATATAAAACATATTTACATTTTTTATAATAATTATCTTATAAATTTATTCACAGCCTATTCATTCTCATGAATTATTAAGCCCACAGCGATGTGCAAAGTCATTGCTTGATCAAAAAAATAATGATGCGTAAGTTCACTTGTTTATGTTGTAAGCGGAAACGGATTCTAAGTAGATTCGGAATTTTTATATAAAACCAGCATTTCAGGGATGATTTTATTATGTGAACGCACTTACTCTAACCTTAATTTAACTAAGAAATTCCAAATCCACTTAAACTCCGTTCCTACTTACAACATTTAGATATGGTATTATCAATATCATACGTCAATTTGTATAAATCTAGCAATATATCTTATTGAATCAAATTACGTAGGCACGATGTGCCGCAATTTTTTATTGCTTCAAGTAGGTGTCAACATTATTTTGCAAACTGTGGTATAATGGTTTAAATAGCGGTGCGAACATTTCTTAGACAGTTATCCTCTTACTTCATATAAAATTTGGGTAGCTATTGAAACGCTATACGTTATTTTATCTTCTAATGTATGCGCCTTTAGTTTAAACGATTTACTGGTTCCAACAATTTTCAATCATGCTATAATAATTTTATGCAATTTTCGGCAGAATAATTTGTTTGAATTAAATAAGGTGTCGAAATCATTATACCTGCAGTGATATAAAAAACAATATTTTTTGAATAATATGTTTAATCAAATTTTAACAATTATTGGTTTGTCTTTAATAAATAGACATAAATCATTCTTTAAAAAGTCTTACGCAGCTCGACCACAATGGAACAAAATCACCCGAAACATTCTCTGATGGCCGAAGCATGACTTCAATATCAGAATATGATATGGATGAAACTCATAAGCTGTTAAGCGAAGATATAAACTAATACGGATCAGGTTGGCTTAATTTACTCATTTTTTTAGAATTAAGAAATTGAAATATATATATCATATCAACTTAGTTTTTTGTTTATTTGCATTATGTATGTATATTTAAAACAGAATCTCACTAGATTTGAATCCACTTAAGTATATTCTAAAGATACTTAAGTTAAAATGAAACTTTAAGTCTATCTAAGTCTATCTAAGTCTATCTAGGTGGCTAGAGAATTTGAATCAATCTAAAATTGATTTCGAATCTATTTAGTAGATAATTTTTAAAATTATAAGTGATTAAAGACTTAATTAGATTTGAAATTTTACTTCGGGCATTATATATTACAGCTTCTGGAAAAATTCTTGAATTAGAGAAAAAAACATAAATATAAATTTTAATCACAGTGTCGCGCTTAGAGATGTGTGCCCTTGCGTGAGATATCATCTTCGCGCAAGTAAGTCACTTGATATACTTCACATGAAGAAAAATCTTAGCGATCAGTGACTTATGATATGTAACGGTTTAAAAAATAATTAGACTAAAATTTCTTCTCGTATTATATATATCATATTAACGCAATTATCGTATTAAAAAAAAAAAAAAGATAATCATTAAAACCTATAAGTCGTTGAAGTCATCTCTCGCGTGAGATAACATGATATATGAAAGATAATGCTTATCTCGCGCGAAATCACACGCTATATGAAGATAATGCTTATCTCGCGCGAGGGACATCTGTAGTCACCTTACAGAATACCTCGTATTTGACATTAATGTAGTGGTTTCATTAACGTTAAAAAAATGCTATCTTTATATACTATATGCAATTCGGCTATATGTGTTAATTATGCTGATTACGATATAAATTCTATTTCTACTGCTTATGCTCAACCTAACTTTATGCACGTACGATCCTGTTATGTAATCTAGATAGGCAAGATAATAAATACACATTTTTTGGCCCTTACGTATTTTTACGTATCAATACTTATTATTGCTTATTATTACGATTCACAAATAGAATCTGATTGATATAACTTTATAATTCGACATAAATGTATAATTAACATTGTAATTAGTAACAATTTGCATGGCATAGTGCAATAAATGTTGTTATTCAATTATTGTTTGAGTTAAATACGTTATATACTACTAAATTAAAAGTTAAATTTAAAATACGTAAACCTCCGATATAATTCTTTTTTTTTCTTTATTTAAATTTGGTGGTAATATTTCTTGATAATAAGTAATAATAGGTATTGTCAATCATCCATCTCCGATTATTCCGATGGAATTTTGATTTCGTCCATTATATTAATCACATTTAATTGCAATTAAATTTTTATGCAATTATTATTAAGTAAGATTGTAATAAACATTTAAATTAATGGAATTTTGCTACAATATAAGTTTAACTTAATAATATTGGATTTTGAAAATAGAGTTTATCCACCAAATAAAGTTAGCGTTAGCAGTTTACGATAAAGTTAACTCATTGAGCACATTTGTGCTATAGATAGATGTAGCAGAGTTTACTGTAAAGATATCATTTTGATTCGTAAAGCAACTTAAAATGTTCATGTCTTGTTTTAAATGATTCATTAAATTCGTATAACCCGATTCTTTTTGGGGTTATCAGCTATGAACCAGGAAGACACATATTACCATCATCTTTAGGTCTGTGTAACATTTGTTTGAAATTTTGGAATAGATATTTAGAGCGCTTTTTGATGTATGTGCCTTCGAAAAAACATAAATTGTGCAAGTTGTTAAAAGAAATCGGTTGATAGTTTTAATTTTTTTATTCAATAACGTATAAAGTTAAATTACAAGTTTTTGACATCAAGCTCAGTAAAATATACTTTTGAACGTGTTTTATCATAACACGTTTTACAAACTCCGGCAAAAGTTGTAATTAATTAATTAAAGTCAAGTAATTGCAATTAATTGACTCCACAATTAAATATTCGGTACGTCTATGATTTTATTTATAAAAAGAGAGACCTATATATAAGCACAACTCCTTTATAAGAACATCTTAAAAAATTTTTACCAGGTGCCCAACTGTGTGATTGTATGGGATGGGACTCAGGGCTTAAAAGACTATATTAAGTAACAATAAGATGAATCAAGAAAAACACATCAAACAATAGGCTGCAGGCCGGCCCTGATAAATCAGATTACAGGATTATATATATGATCATGCTTTACGAGTTGTCATTGGCTGATCGAGTTTTAATTCAATAACGCCCATGAACGTTATTTAGGGACAAATAGCTTATTACTGTATTAAATATTAGCTCTCTTCAACCTGTCCCTAAATAACGCCCATGGGCGCTAATTCGTTAATAGTCATAATGCAAGATTAATGGTATTCTTATGTCAAAGAAAATCCCGAGCTACCAGCCAAAAAAATATGGGTCGTAGTATCTCAAAAATTCCCTATATATCTAACATTAACAATTGTATACTATGAGTAAACTTTCATCCTGAAAACTTTTACTTAGAGGTCGGAAGTTAGCTATCATAGTAAATTTTTGTGCGTTTGTTTTGCTACACGAGATCCTGTGATTTTATTGGATCCGGATAGGGTCGGAAGTGATCTTCAACCCGGGATTTTCTTGACATAAGGATATCCGTTTTTGTTAGATGGTTTATCCGAATATTTGTCAGCCAAATACAGATACGTAAACATCGTTTTATCTGAACGGATATCGAATACCACCTTCAGCTAAGACCACATGTCTAGGATTTTTTTTGTTATATTAGGAAATTTACTCGCCGAATTCAGAAAGATTGTCATGGCGGTCTCTTTGGCTTAACGGAGTCGTCTCCTCAAAGTGCCGGTTCCACAGCCGCAGCATATAAAGTTAACTACGTATACGTAAACTGTGCAATGAACTCGCTTTACTATTCATTTTTATAGGATCAAATGTACATCTATGTTGTGCCTCAAATCGATTTTTGCCTCAGATGATAACTGAGGCAACTCAGGTGTTGACCATAACATAATCCTTACCCTAACTCTAACTCTAATTTAGGCCGATTGACACCTGAGGCAAGAATCGATCTGAGGCACTACAACAAAAAGAGAGACAATAACAATGACATTCTAGATTACTCAATTAATCCTGTGTGACAAAAGTTGAGCCAAAAATAAAATCAATGCCTCCGTTCATATCTAATATTTGTTTTCTATAATGTTATTTTTATCGCCTTGGGTCTCGGCCAGAAAACCGAAAATTATAAACCCGTTAATTGTCGGGCATCTTTTGTTTGCCACACTAAAGCGAACATTTAATTGCTCATCTATAAGGAGTGGGCTTGTTCTAAATCGAGGGGAATTTCAAACAATAGCCCAAAGGAAATTGATATTAATTTCTCTAGATTGGACCCGTCCAAAAGATCCTCCTTTATCCCTTGGTCATGCATCTATATTAGCTAATTTAAAACATCATAATATTGATGTTTTTTCTCGTTCATGGTCAGTAAATGTACCCACCTTTTCACCCGATGATGTGGTAGAATTTATCATGATGCATGCTAATCCCCATCATGATGTTGCATTAGGAGCATTTGTTTGGAATGAACATGCGATACAGCATATTTTAAGCGAATTAAAGAAACATAAATTTCCAGGAAGAGTAATTCTTGGAGGTCCTCAAGTGAGCTATGTTAAGAAAGGGATAGAAGAATATTACCATTATGCTGATATTTATATTCGTGGATATGCTGAAAATGCGATAGTGAAATTAATGCTATCTAAAACTTTATTTCCCTGTATTAAAGGGGTTCATTATTTTGGAGAACCAGATTTAGGACTTTCGGCTGTTGCAGAATTAGATATTATACATCTCCTTTTTTAACTAAACTTATTTTACCACAGAATTTTATTCGATGGGAAACCAAACGAGGGTGTCCTTTCCATTGTGCTTTCTGTCAACATAGAGAATCTGACGTATCAATGAAACGTCGTCAATTTCCTATGTCACGTGTAATTCAAGAAGCGGAATGGATAGCCAAACATTCAAGCATTCAAGATGTTGCAGTTCTTGATCCAACGTTTAATTCTGGTCCTTACTATCTTGATATAATGGATAAATTAATAAAAGAAAAATACAGAGGAAAACTTTCACTTCAATGTAGAATTGAAATGATAAAAAAAGAATTTTTAGACAAAGTTGTTCAGTTGAATGATACCGCAGAGACTGTATTAGAATTTGGTTTACAGACTACTAACCCTAAAGAACAAGCAATAATAGATAGGCCAAATAATATGAAGGTTATTGAGAGAGTTTTGACTCAGATACGAGAGAGAAAAATTAAAATCGAAGTATCTCTTATCTTTGGTCTACCTGAACAAACGATTACAACGTTCAAAAAGAGCATTGATTTTTGTTTTAATCACAAAGTTCCAGTCATTCATGCTTTTCCATTAATGCTATTAAGAGGAACACCATTGCATAAAAGGAAAGCAGAGCTTGGTCTTGTCGAATCTTATGAAGTTGCCTCACCTACCATTGATCGTATACAAACAAATATTCCTCACGTTGTTGCAAGTCCTTCATTTACATATGAAGAATGGAAAGAAATGTCTAAAATAGCAGAATCACTAGAAATTTCCACGAAAAATGTATCAAAAAGTTCCAATTAAGAACATAATGAGACAATGTGTTTCCTACAAAACATTATTTGAGAAAACATCAATTCTTCTACAGTAGTAGCATTTGCAATGCAACAAATGAATGTAAAAATTTCTTCAATAATACTAATGTCTTACGTTATTAATATATATTGTTGAAGTATTAAAAAAATAATTATAAGCAAACTTGTCAAAAAATAAAATTTATATAATATCTGATCTTTATATAGTATTATCATACAATATTGTTTAATTAGTAAATTGTATAAAGGTTTTAGAATTTTTTGCATATGCAATATATTGCACCTCTAGGGTTTGGATCCTAAACCTTCACAGACAAGATCAACGGTTAGAGTCAGGTTGAAGGCAAAACTGAGAATATAAAGGGCATAATTGAACATGAAACCTTGTGAAAAAGTCTATGAATTTGGAATAGAAATTCTTAAAATAAGACCTAATTGTAAAGTGAAAGTATTATATTTAATAGTAGTGTTACAGAAGGTCTTAATAAAATGTATTATATATTGCTACACCGTAAAAACTGTCTTTAAAAATCTCTATTCGTAGGGTAACCGTCAAGTCTTCATGTAACGACGGATATACAGACTTCTCAAAAGAGGCATACGATTTGTCCAGGTAAGTATTTAATTAATACATTCTCGCATCCAAGTCAAACTAATTATTAAAATTTCTAGCTAGTTAATAGTATGTGAACAATCTCAAACAATTGGTGAAACTTGCTGATAAATTTTCAGCAATCTGTTAAAGTATGCAGACGATCTCGAATGGATATATAAAGAACAAGTTATGTAGCGAAGTTCAAATTGACAACAGATTTTTAGTAAACTGGTTAGATGCAATAGTGTATGAATAATAACTTGACAAAGTATTCGTCAAGCAGAATTAGCCAAATAATTTTTATAGTTTTACAGGTTTGTTTTATATTCTGATCAGCAATAAAATCAAACAAGGCTTCGTCAATTAAAGTACAATTGATTTTTAACACAGGTATCAAATATAAATTGCTATAATTGAATGTATTGACTTTTCATTTTAATATCTATTTTGCGGTTGTTATGTCTTAATTAGAGAAAACGATTACATCGTTTGCATTTACAATAGCCATCTTCTCAATTAAAGTGCATCTATCTAATGAATTCTATGATAAAACATTAAAATCAGTGTTATTAACATATGGAAATCCACACATCTCGCGAGATGAGTCTAATGTATATTGCACATGTCATACGCGATATAATATCGCGTGATTTCTCGTGAGATATCAGGGTTGGCTGTGCTTGTCTAACTACTTAAAGTCATATCAGAATAGTTTTTCTCTTTTAGTAACAAGTATATTAATTGTTTTCTAAGTTTTTTCCTTTATTTAATTTATTTTTTTATTTTATCTTCTTTTCTTTTTTTGCTTGTTTATCTTTTTTTTTGATTTTCTTTTTATATAAGCATCTTTCTTTATTTTATTTATTATATTGATCTTTTTTTCTTATTCTTATATCTTTTTATATCAGACTTTCTATAATTAGTCATAAAAAGTATTTTATACTGTTCTTGTTACTATGTTTAAACATTTCTGTATTGCTTGCTTATTTAATAGTTATTAAAGTCTTTCTTTTACTTTTAGCATAGTAAGTTTCTTTATCAATTTTTTTTATTTATAATTTTTTCAGCTTCTGTGTTTTGAATAATATCTTGTATAATATTTGTAATAGAATTCTATTTTTTTCTTTCTTTTTAAGCCTATTCTATATTGTTGCTGTTACTACTTTTTGGATCTGCTTTCATAAACTTTTTTGTCTATTACAACTTACTAAATATATCTGGATTTCTTTTTTTCTATTTTGATATATTTGACATACTACTATTGTGTATACTTCTGATTTTCTTTTATTTAATTCTTCAAGTATTAGTAAGCTGTTTATTATATACTTAATTATTGTAACTCTTCTTAAACTAAGTTTTTTAAGATATAGTGACCTTCTCTTGTTGTATTCATTTCTTTTTAAAAACTTGATCAATTATGTAATATATTTTTTATTTTTGATTCTAATATTTTAATTAAATTTGTTTCTCTTTAACTAATTTTAATTTTAATATTTATTATTATTTTATACAGAAGTCTTGTTAGTATATTAATTTTTTTGTTTTTTTATTTTAAATAATACTCAATTCTATTATATCTAACATTTTCTGTATATATTATATTTTTACATATTATTTTCTTTTTTGCAAGAATGTCTACTTAATTATTTCATTTGTCTTTGTTATAATTTTTTATTTTAATTATATTGATTTTAATATTCTTGCTTTTGATAAAACCTGCAATATTTATTATTCATATTATATATATATATATATATATATATATATATATATATATTTTTTTTTTTTTTTTTTTTTTTTTTTTTTTAAGTCATCTTCTTTTTTTTTTGTTAGTATTCTTGTTATTTA